GCTAATGCTTACAAATTCATCTGTAAAAGACCGATATTGATAAACGCCCTGAGACTAAAGAGACTAATGCCTATGAAGTGAATGAAAAAAAAATGAAAAAAATTGCTGACATATAATACATCTGAGGATAACAGACGAAACGGTAACGCACAAGGAACATTGGTGAAATAGTTTTCAGAATAAAAGAATGGTAGAATAGAATAAAATGAAATAAACAAACCAATAAACTATGGATAATCGCTGCCTTACTCAACAGTTAAGTTTTCTAAAAGTATATTCTATAATCAATGTCGACAAAACTACGGCTGTTTGAGAGGTGTCAAGTAGAGCTGACAAAAAAAAAAAAGAAAAACCGGCAAAATCAGGCATAATATTAATAACAAAATATTAACTTTATAACAACTCTGTGGTTTTGTCAAACAATAAATAACAATAAATACAGCCAACATTACGGAAACTAAGTATTCAGAGGTAAGAAGAAAATCCAATTCCAATAAGACATATTTTCGTTGCAAGAATAAAATCTAAAAACTAACGCTATTAGTAGCACAAAATTTTTAATAGTATGTTATAATTTTAAAAGAATATCAGGTTTTTGTTCATCCGTTCTTTCGATAAATGTCGTTCAAGGATGTGATATTAACAATTTAGTTAAAATTATAACTTTAAGTGCAATATTCCTTTTCACAAAACTCTTTTTTACTAATTGATTAAACCTATTCATCACTTTTATAACTATAATTTCATTTGATTACACAACATTGTCAGTGGCAACCCGCCAAAAAAAAGGAAAATCAGACACCGATCACAAGGTATAGTTTTTCATACAGTCATTTATTCAGTCGGTGCAGTTTAATTAGGAGTGCTACCAGAGGAATCTGTATTACAAATTATTTTTAATTGTCTTTGGTTAGTGTATTTCGTCTTTTTTTTTATAATGAAAATCAAAATCACGCCCGCGAAAATATAGATCTACGCGGTTAGCCGCCTAAGATGGCCAATTCTTTGAACTACTTCGCATCTTATTACTGCCAACGGTGTAGTTTGCTTCTAAAAGGCATCTGTAAATATATGTTGATGTTTCTGCAATGGTTTTGGATCAAGGTCAGTTGACGCGGATTTTAAACTAATCTCTTGCTTTTTTCACCTTTGTTTCGTACAGTCTCACTATTTCCCCTAGCCTTCTAGACACTTGATCGTTTTTGATCCATCGTTCCTGGCTACCAACAGTTCTTCCATTAGCCAGTTTTAGTGCTTTTTGCACTTTTTCCAAAGTAGTGCTCTAAACCTTGTAACAAAATAATCTGTCGAAAGTCTTTGCGTGAATGGCCGATGGAGATGAATTTTTTTTTAATGGTAAGTATGGGATCCCAACGCAATGCTTTTGCAAAAAAAGTAGAAGAAAATAAAGAAAAATAATAATGATAATTAACAGATAAAAACAAATAAAAGAAACTGGATAATGAGAGTAAAGCTTGGTAACTTCAGCTTTGTATTCTTTATCATGCTTATTTGTTGATTAATGAATGCGCTTGTAGGAATAATTTAGTAGTTGGAATACAGTTCTCCGATGTAAAGATTAAACATCCAGGTGTACTTTGATTTGTGCATTGCGAGCATGTGAAAACTGTATATTCTTCCGTAAACTTCTGACTGACTTTTGCAGCTGACCGATTCCTTTTATCTAGATACTTTAGTTTTCTTTTCCTTCTTTTTTTGCACACGATATGCTTGTCTGCCCCACTCCATCCTCAGCCTATCATCCCGAATCAGACAAAATAATCCTGGATTTGGTAGATCAGTTCATGAGATCTTTGAACGTTAACCAAGCGTTTTAAACGCAGTCATGTGTATACCATTGTCCTGTGCCGGAACTTTAATGGGTGTTCCCCAAAACCGAATAGTTTACCACAATGTGTTGGTATGTGAAAGCCCAGTGAACCGTCACTCTATCTTCAGTCTTCTTCCCTTCGCAACTGCCGGAATGCCACTGGTAATTAATGTAAAGAAAAAATGGAACACATCTGAATGTGTATTTTGCATAAAGTTACACAAATTTATTGTTGAAGAAATTTAGCAAACAATGAAGCATAAAATGAAACAAAACAAGGAATGAAATCACAATATTTATTAAGTATTTGGCATCATGTGAATTGACTGCGAGCAAAGTTTATTTTCATACTCACAAGTATGTTGCCTATCGTTTTTGAAACACTAAACGGGAACCACAAGCGAATAAAATGTGTAGTACATCTGCCACTGTATTCAAGCAGAGGGCACATTTTCGCTTGGCTACAGGAAATAAAGATGAATTCAAGACTGGAACGGAAAATTTGGTTTACAAATTAAAGCGGAAATAAAAAATATAGCTTATAAAGGTGAAGAAGTTATTGGTCAGGAAGCTCAGTTAATTACTCTTCAAGTGGGACAATTTTAAACGATCGGATACTTCACCTCTTCACTGGAATGTCGACTAGGTAGAAAGCGGTGAATAATCAAAAAGACGGCCTGAAATTTATTCTGCATATTCAGCTAATCAAAAGAATAAATTTGTATAGCATATAACTTTACTGTTTAAAAATAGGCATGATAATTTAGATAACCACTGCAATAAGAGACTTTTGACAAACTACCATATATTTCACAAATTAGGAGTTTACGTAATTTCGAGTACTGTAAGTATTAAAAGTAAAAGACTTACAAAAACTAAAAACAGAATTCCTACTGCAACACTCGTCCACGCAAATCCAACCAACTCAACACTTAAACCACCAATAGATGGACCGATAAAAGACCTAAATCACCAACCTGAATTTCTACAAGCAAAAGACAACCCCTCGACCTTATCTCACTTCAAACTCCGAAATGAGTAGTATTTTCCAAACAGAATAAAACCCTTTACACTTTAATCTTACCCAAATGCGAAAGCGGACTGGAAGATTCCAGAAACACCTGCATAAGTTTCGAAAGAATCCTCGTAGTTATGTTCTCTGAACAAAGTCAATTTATAAAACGCCAAAGTTTTTAAAGTCCATCAAAGAAAAAATTAAGAACATCAGTTTTCTATTTATAATCATCAAAACACTAGATTATTTAAAAGTTTAAACAAGGTATCAAAACGCACTTGACTGCTTCTAAGCACTTCTGGAACGTCGGTATATACAAAGCGCCAGAAGCAACAGCGAGTGAAACTAACGCAAGCGCGATAACAAACAGATTTCTGAAAAAAAGTTTTCTCAGTTGATACAAGGAATCAAATCAAACGCATGAAAAGCTTTAAATTTTCAAATACATTAGAAAAGTAATTTCCCTCTTACTTTTCCATATGCAAGAAAGGAGCTGGTCCGACAAGGAGCATTGATACTAGAGATAAAACTGCACCAAACATCATTATGGTGAAGGTACAGCGCCATTTATCGTAGATTAAGCCCCATATCGGGGCAGTAATTGTATATACACTTCCATCCAACAAGAAGAACAGTCCTATCATAGTTGTAGACAAATTAAACTGGAAAAAAAAAAGAATGACTACTTCAGCTTCTCGCTTTTCATCATATTAAACGTTAGCAAATTATTTCAATGAAGTTGTGAGATGAATAAAGCATAGCAAGACTGCATACTGTAGAGAGATGTTCAGCTAAATTTGAGTCCAAAAATGCTATCGAAATAGCGCAGACTACCACTGCAAACAGCATAACCCAAACAACTGGAACTTTTAACATACCAAACATACCTCGTCCGCTTTCAGACCGTTTGTCTAAATGCAAAAAAAAGGTAAAAGATGTGTCTAATTATTCTTGAAATATTACTTTATAAAAAATAATTAATCCTGAAATCTGAGAACTTAAAATAAACCATGTTCCAGGATTATAACAAGTTCAGAACTGTTGAACCAGCAAAAAGTTAAAGAATTGTTTAGTACCTTCTTCATTTCAGAAGGCTTACAGAGAATCTAATAAATTAACAAATGAGAAATTAGAAAGCAGAACTAACTGAGACCTTTGTATTTTTTAATTAAAAAGGAAGACAATATTGCCACCAAAATCAACAAAACACCCAGAACAATAAATGGTAGCTGAAAACCGCCCAAGTCGTACAAGGCAGCTCCGATCATTGGGCCAGCTGTAAAACCGAATCCTGCAGATGTCTCCATAATACCCTAATAAATATTTTCCTTAATAATATCACTGGTTATATCTTCTGCGGTCATTTAAGCAAATAAAACATTTGTTTCAAGTTCAACGCTTACTATAACAGTCGAAATATGTCTCGGAAAACATTTGACACTAATCACGAAAGATGCAGTCACGAAACAAGCATCCCCTACTGCTTCCACAACACGTATAGACATAGACCCCAAAAAGAACGCCATTCCGGATGGTAAAAATTGTAAAAAACTGAAAAGCACAATATTTAAAAGAGCGATATAGGGATGGTACCGAACAAGAGCCACTACGTAACCCTACTTAGATAGATCAAAATAGAGGCAAAGACAAACAAGATATATTTGTAAACGCATTAATTAGAGCAACAAGCTCCCAATAGCACTTTGAAACCGATATAACTCTAAAAGTTCAAAAAAATTTTAACATGTTCAGAGATTTTATCCTTATTAAACTTGCCTAAATTGAAAAAAATCAAATTCATAAAAATTAAATTTACCCAAACAAAATAGCAGCGATTCCCGTAATTAACAAACCAGCAATCAACATTCGCTTAGAGCCGATATAGATCATCTATAAACAGTAACTTCAAATTCAATTGAAGACAGAATAAAAAAAAAGCCATTTTTGTTATACAAGAAATCAGGCGGATGAAGCTTACTGTTATACATTCTTTTTTCAAACGAAACTTACGTATTTTCCCAGTACAAGTGATACGATACAGACAAGAAGTTCAAAGACACCGAAAACAATTCCAATCTGAGACTCCGTAAGCCCTTTCTGTTTTGCCTGCAAAACCATTTATAAGACCTCTTCAAAGAAAGCAATCAAAGCGAAATAAGAACTAATAAAAAAATATTTTCAGATTTCATACTTCTGCTGGATAAAACGGTGCAATACAACTGAAAGCGACCATACTGCAAAGGTTAGCTACTGCCAACATACACACAGTTACCGACTGTTTCGTGTTGAACCATGAAGACATCCCATTAGACGACGGGGTTGTATCGGTGCTAGATTCACTGAAAAAAGTCATCTGGTGAAAAGCCAAGCCTATATCCTAGCAGTTAACAAACTGCAAAGGTAGAAAGAAAGAAGAAATAAATTTTAACTATAGGTAAAACCTTTCATCGTCTTCACTATCGGACTGCGACCCACGGTCTTCCTCAGCGATCGTCCCATACTTAAGGCTTTCCTTTCTCGGCTTTACCTTACTCGGCTCATTCACCTGCCGATTCAATTCAACTGAAGTCTGCTTCACAAGTGGGCGAAACAGTGACGAAACATATGGTCTAAATTGTCCAATAGTATTTTTTTAAAAATTATTTTTACTTTTTTAACCTAACTATGCAGCAAAAGATGTCAAAAAAACTCAGTAAAGCTAGATTTAAAAAACCGATTTATATTGTTCTGACAATGATACATAACTTGGTACAATAGAGATGTTTTAGAAAAGTGATGCCACCCACGCATTTCCATCAAAGAAAAGTACCATCAATAATCTAGCAGTTGAAGTAAACCGTCAAATTAATCAACATTTCCGTTAAGAAATGTCAAATAAAAACGTGGTCACCTCAATCCTGTAGATCCGAAGGAAGATGTTGATACTTATATTGACTGACCAGGGATCGACTGGTAACAAAATTTTTGTTTTTTAAACAAAAACATATAATCACTGAAAATTTTCCAAACCATAATCAACATACCCCCAACGACAGTCCAAATATAGTGAGTGTATTCAGGAGGATAAGTAATTTTTTTGCGCATTGGAAAATAGGCGAAAAAAGTGTAGAAGCAAATATTTGCAGTAAGCACTTACAAATTAAAACAATAAAGCCAAGATCAAAAGCTCTTAAATTATGCCTAATTTCTTCCTTTCCCTTTTCATCAATTTTAAAAAAAAAAACTAATAGTTACATATTAGAAAATCAAATGCGTACATTCAGCTTACTGTACAGTTGACGTCAAAGTAAAAAATTAACAAAGAAAAAACGTCATCTGTTGATGCAATTCAAATTGAAAAAAAAAAAAAAAAGAAAAAAAAACAGATCAAAGTATATGTTCTGTGCTCATATCGTCTTATACCAGAGCTATATATTCGGTTTTTACTATTGCAGACAAAGGGGAGACAAATAATTAAAAAAAAAAACCCTAAAAAAAAAAAGGATTTTTCTTGATAAATACCGTTGAGTGGATTCTTCACTGTAACATCGATGCATCACTGGTGAAAGTTGAGCATTGATATTTAAGCTACCAGGCATACTTATTTGTTTCTGTATTCGAGCATATAATTGGTATTGTGAAGATTGAATATTATCGGAATTGAGGTTTGATGGATCAAGCAATGATAGTGAATTCCTATTCTCCATTGTAGGCCCTTCATCCGAAATTTGTGATGTATATTTAGTGATACACTCATTCGACGTAATGGTGGTGTATTTTTTTACGGTAAAATAACCGCTAGAAAAAAGTTGTTAAAAATAACCTATACTGTAACTAAGTCGTTTTTTAAATCGTTTGCAGAATTAACAATGCGATTCGTATGACGACGTAAAAATCTGAAGTTAATTTGAAGATAATGATAAACACAAAACAGTTCTGATTTGAAGGTTATAAACCTCTGAACAAATAAGTCGTCAAAAAAATTTTGCTTATGAGGTTTTTTAGCCAAAAACAATATTTATCTTGCAAAAAACAGCTTTTTCGCAAATGAATCTTTCTTTGAAATGAACTTGCCCTGAAAATATTCTTGTTTTGAACAGACAAGATAAACGTTCCATTCCATTTTACTGTCTCAGTTTCAGTTATCACTAATAACAGTCCCGAACAAGAATACGGCCCCAGATTATAATGTAAATAAAAGACAAATTCAAGAGAATGGTACATTTATTTGGAAAAAAAAAAGAAGAAAAAAGACACACAAAAAGTGCAAAGGAAATTTACTAGTCTTCAAAATAAATTAAAAATAACAGAAGGACCATTAATGATAAGATGTGTAGTCATACGTGAAAAGTCAGTTAGGACTACAGCAGTCATTACGCATTGTATTACACCATTTTTGAAATCATAAAAAGTAGTGTATCCAAAGTGACACAGACCAAACCGATTCTGTATTCCTATCGCCCAGTTAGTCGCCCAGTTAGTTTCTTGATTACTTAAGTAATCAAAAAACTATGCAGCATTCTTATATAAATCTAATTTAGTAAGACTGAAAAGCAGTCTTCAGCTTCACCAGTCATTGTAGCGCTTGAAACCTAAATGGAACAATTAACGGGTTTAGGTCTAGATGAGTACACTGTGTTAGCGATGAGCTTCAAAACGTGTAAGTTTTTCATTTCTCTGCAACTTTTTACTATTTCGAAGTATGTTTTGGTAAAAAAAACTACAACTTTCAGCCTTCCTTGACACAGAAACTACGAGTAGGTGATGAATTAAAAGCGTAAAGCCAAGTACTTTCAATAATTTATCAACTGCCGCTTAAAACTGCTGTAAATACAATGCCTTTCTTTACTGAACGACGGGCAATCATTGACTATTTCACTACTTCTATTAACTCTTAAATGGAATAAAATTTTTCCCTTGATAAGCCTTTCTGTCTCCTTCTTTCAAAAAAAACCCAACAAATTTCAATAATACAACAAATACTGTTTGATAACATTAAGTTTCATGATGCAGTACCTCTAATCTATGACCTGTAACCATAAACTCAATACAAACATCTACTTGTATATCGCAAAGAAACTTTGAAGAACTATTGATACAGTTGACCACTTTTCGGTTACTCAACGTATAAATGCGAAAACTTCCTATTAAAAAAATATACAATTGGGCAGGAATAAAATATACGGGAAAAAAGAAAATTTATAATGCAAATATTATTCCGAGTACAGAACTAAAATTTTTTACAAAGCAATAATTACTTCAACTGCATAGCAACGCTTTTTCTTGCTGTTGTTTTTGAAGGAAAATAAATAAATAACTTAATGTAAAAATCTATAGAAATAAGAAAATAACTGCTTTAATTATGTAATTCTCAAAAATAAAGCTAAAAAATTGGAAAAAAAAAAGAAAAACAACAGAGCAATTAATATTTACAGACATTACTCGTACGACAGTGCCGTCGTCAGGAAAATTTGTTTTTGGCTGAAAAAAAAAACCAATCATTCAAATTACTACTTTTTTCGTCTGAAATGTATAACCCGACATCATAAACAGCTTTTCCTTTTTTTTTCTTTCCTTTTTCTTGCACTAGTGAAAAACTTTTCTAGCATATAAATCATTAGAATAAAAATAGACAACGAATATTTAGCTAAAAGCATCCGTTATTTGTAATTCAAATTCCATACTATTTTACAAAGCATCAAAAGAGTTTAAAAATAGAAAATTTAAAATTTTTATAAGGTTTTATTCTTTTTCCTCCCTCCATTCATTTTAAAATGAATTGCTAACTTTCAAAAAACAAAAAAAAAAGACATATAGCTGAACACTGTTCGGTCATAATGTTTATAGGGAGCTGATAAGACAGGTTAACAGCACAACAATCAATGACGAGACTAACGCTGAAGACAACAGACCATTGAAGCACTAACTGTCAGACGACTTAACGATCAAGCAAATGACACTAACGACAGCAAACTTGATGCCCTTATAAACTTTTTCTTTAACAGGACACTGACTGATGCTTGCCTATAACTGATAAGAGACTGGAAAACGGCACTGTTTTGAACAAAGAATCATAGATTACCAAAATCATATGAAAATACGACGGTTATTCAGATGAGCTACAACAGCAGATTTTTTAGCAGACGCCCATTACAAAAATAACAGTATTCTAGATGCCAATTTCTCTATCCAACTAACAAAACTTCTATCTTCAAAAATTCCCTTTCAAAGTCATATTGCAAATTATATCACACTGGGCGATTTAACTCCTGCAGAACAAAAGGTATGGTAAACGACATTCTAAGCAACAGCTTACTGAAAGGAACAAAATAAATTTTCAGAAGAACTGACAAATGTCTTGATTTCAGACCCGCAAAGCTGCTATTAATTTCCCAACCCTTTCAAGACATTCTATTTGACCAGCACAAAACAACGATAACCATTTGCTTTCAAACCTTTCATCCTGTCACTGCATACTCTAACTTTACTGGAAAAGAAAAAATCCGACTAAAACTTCAAAAACATAATTGAATGACTATAAAATCAAACCGACAACTATTAAAATTTTGAATATGCATTTTTAAAACCAACAAAAGAAAAATTTGATAACTGATGAAGCAAAAAGCTGAGTGAATAAATTACATAATATTTCTCAACCTAAATATTTCCGTCTACGTCACAACAACAATCAATATTATCATAAACTGTCGTTCTAAAACATTTTATAGCAGTTATTTCTCCACTTCTTAAGTGTTTTTTTCCACCACTTTTCCTCCGCTTACTTCCCCAATACTTTACTTCATAATCCTTTGAAAAATCTAAATATGAATAGTAAATTTTTTGTCTTAATGTACTGCTTCTTATACAAATAAATAGTTTTTCCTTCTGGTATCTAACTTGGGGCTACACGTTTGTTCAAGAACACACTAATGGATTCTTACGTCAACATATTCTCTTTTTTTTAACAGACCTATTTTACAGTTCTAACCACCAAAAACTTTTTCACTTCCCATCTTTTGCTACAACAAAATTAGCAATAGTATTTTTTTCTGTTATTCTTCCCTTCCTATAATCCGTCTATAATCCGTTTTAAGTTTTATCGTCGTCAGCTTGATGAACATCGATTTTGCAGCTCTACTCGTCAATTGTGTGCTGCCGAACATTCTTATTTTTTGACATCTGAAACGTCAGAATAAATTATGCGCTATATTTACTGTACACTACTGACATTTTTCATCATTCTACAGCCTTAACAGCCTACCGCATTAACGCACCTAATCTACAGGCCTTTTGCCTACATTATTAGATCAGCCAAATTCCTAAATTTTCTTGAAATCAACGGCCTACTGCAATGGTCCTAGTTACTCTTGAGAACTGTAACAAGAAAAAAAAGAATAACTAGACAAATCTGGTAACAAAGAGAAAAACTGACACCTATTTAATTGAATTACTTTTCAGCACGTCAATGTCAAGAATAACTGTTTTTTTTCTTTACACTCATAAAAAAAGATTTTTTGACACAGGGGAAAAATTAGTATTTTAAATTAAAGACAACATGCTTTAGTTAACAACCACTTCCGTGGCTGACGATCAAAAAAAGTGACAAAAACAATGAACCTGCATAGTAGGAAAAAAAATGTACGAGTTATGATTTCTGATGTCTAACAACAAATATATCGTATCAAATGCCGAAGAAAGTTCCCCGTTTAATCAACTATTTTTGTAAACTACCCAAGTATTGCAGCCAAAAAAAAAAACCAAGGAACAACTACCCAACATCGTATATTTTGCAGTTATTTACATTCAGGCAGATACACTGAGATAAAAGAAAGCTGGAGGAAGAGACTGGGGAGAGAAAAAAGTTGAACTGCAGCATTTTGCACTTTACAGCACTGGTTGGACTGAACATTAGCGGAATAAGAACCGTCTCTTTTATTCTTTCATTGTTCGCGAGCAAAAATGAACCATTTTTCCCCTCCCCCCC